CCCCCCAAAAAAAAGAACAGTAATAAACTATAATCCACTAAATAGAGTTCATACCAATGACTGTCAGGTAGGAAGAGATGACTGATAGGTAACAAACACACACACATAGAGGGATGGATGACACATGAATAAAAAAATACAGACACCAAAACATAAATTTTAAAATACATTTTCAGAAATGTTGTCATTAGTTGGTTTCATCATTGCGGGCATGTCACAAAGTGTACTTACACAAACCTAGATGATACAGCCTAATGCTCCTAGGCTACAAATCTGCACAGCCTATTACTATACTGAGTACTATAGGCAACTGTAGCACAGTGCTAAGAATTTGTGTATCCAAACATATCTAAACATAAAAAAGGTACAGGAAAGGTATGATATTATAATTTTACAGGACAACTGCCACATATGCATCTTTATACAGCCCATGACTATGTGTGTACACACACATACACACTATACACATATATCACACACATACATATATATATATGTATTTGGTCTTTGTCCCTGGTTCTTGGCAGAGAGTTCCTAACATCCTTGGAATTTGAGTGATAAAAGTACCTTTTGGCGGGGTGTGGTGGCTTATGCCCACAACCCTATCACTCTGGGAGGCTAAGAAGGAGAATCACTTGAGCTCAGGAACTGGAGACTAGATGGAGCAAAAATGAAACCTCATCTCTAGCAAAAATAGAAAAAGTTAGCTGGGCTTGGTGGCAGGTACCTGTACTCCTAGCTACTCAAGATGCCAGGGTGCAATGAGCCACTGCATTCTACCAGGAGCTTTTTTAAGAAAAAAGTAAAAGCATCTTTTGTTATTCAATAAGAAGCCCTTTAGGCTCCATAGCACAGTGGTTACAGCACCAGCCACATACTCCAAGGGTGGTGGGTTCAAACCCAGCCCTAGCCAGCTAACCAACCATGACAACTGCAACAGAAAATAGCCAGGTGTTGTGGCTACTTGGGATGCTACTTGGGAGGCTGTGGCAGGAAAATCACTTAAGCCCATGACTTTGAAGTTGCTATGAGCTGTGAGGTCACAGTACTTTACTAAGGGTGACATAGTAAATCTCAAAAAAAAAAAAAAAAAGTCCTTTAGCCCACACTGTTGACAAACTGACTCACGGTAGGTCCTCAAGTAGTTCCAAAGGCGGACCTAGCCACCAGAAGGATCAAACATGTGATTAGAGAGCTGGGAACTTCAGAACCACCCTCCACTACCACCCTTGTTTCCAAGGAGAAGAGGGTAGCTGGAAATTGAATTAATCATGTGACCAATGATGATCGGATCAATCATCCTCATGAAATAAAGCCCCAGATAAAAACTCCAACAATGATACTTGAGAGACTTCCTGGATAATGAATACACAGATGTTCTAGAAAGGGGACACACCTAGAAAGGACATGGATGCTATCTTACCACCCCTACCCTGCCCTATGTATCTCTTCCACTTGGCCGTTCCTGAGATGTAACTTTTATAATAAAACTATAACCATAAATGATTTCATGAATTGTGAGTCATTCCAACAAAATATCTAATGGGGTAGGAGAGAAAGAGATGTGGGTATCCTAGAGACCTCACTTGTAGCTGGCATCTGAATGGGAGCAATCTGGTGTGACTGAGCCTTTGACCTACGGAGTCTGTACTCACTCTGTCATTAGCATCAGAAATTGAACTGAACTGCAGGATGCTAGTAGGTATCAGAGAACTGTGACTGGAAGACCACAACACAGATGTGTGTAAAGGTTCTTCCTTATTGTAGAATGCCAAAGGGCAAATGTGGACTCTATTAGATAGAGTTGAACTATCAGAATTCCACAACTATCACTGTAACCTGTCCAATCTTAAGATCTCCCTTGCTCTTACAATGGCTGTTTTACTATGCATGATTTTGTAACATCATCATCGATCATTTGGAAAACTACTGGTTCCATCGCAGTTAGACCTTTTAAATGCTGGCAACTCAGTCTAAATATTACCACCCCCCTCATCAGAAAAGTTTCTCAACCCAGAGAAGCATCAAGCTATCTGTATATTTAAATATTGCTTAAAATTAGGCTTAAATTATCAGTACAACAAATTATCAATTGTTTTTCCTTAAGGTAACTTCATTTCTTTTCAGGAAAGTGTCTGCTAAATATTCGAGTCTGAATAACCAAATTTTGTTCTTTAAAAATAGTGCTCCATGAAAAAAAGAGGCTAGTTCAGTTAACAACGCAACCAGACAAGTGCTTTACCTTTAGATAAATATCACACTTCATTAGGCAGAAAACTTTAGAAGTACATTCTTAAAAAAAGCTTTACATTTTATCACACAGAATATTAGACATTTAATATACGCAAGGGTCAAGCTTCAATAAAATACTTTTTTGTATTTCATTATTATCTTTAGTGAAACTGCCTTTTTTACTCTTTACTGTGAGCACATGGTGGTGATGACTGTAACTACTAATGCAGTTTTGTGTTACCATCTTACTTCATAATAATATGCAAGCAGTTTTCCCACCATTGCTTTCACACGAATAGTGCAAATGTAACAGAGGAAAAAGTCAAATAATTGTAATATTATTATGAAAATTGTTTTATCTTTGTAGAGCCTAGAAAGGGAATTGGGGACCATACCGTACACTTTGAAAAATGCTGCAACACTTGGTACTGCCTCTTACATTATCAACACATAGTTCTGTTAGAATGTTAGGTTATGCTACAACTCATTAAACAACTTTGAAAACATTTCCTATTACAGAAGAAAACCAGATAAACACAACAGTATAATAACTTTAAAAAGTTTCACTGTTTTCCTAAATTTAAACATTATAAAATGTGCCTACTGTTAAATAATATGTAACAAAGACCAAACTAATACTCAATATCTAAGTAATATTTAAAAGATTTAGAATATGAGGAAAATACTTAACTGAAACCATTTTTCACTAGGAGTCTTAATATGTTTCAGTCTTTTCTTCAGTTATTTCACTTTTTATAAAACGACCACCTTCACATGAACTATAAAATGTGTCTCTTTATAAAGCTGTATATCATTCAGTGCCATATGACAGATTTTTAAAAGGACATTGCTAAATACCTTCTCCCTGGAGAGGCTTTCCAAATGTGAAGTCAGACCACTTATTTCTTTGTCTTTCTCTGCCAATTGAAGCTGCACAGAGAAAGAAATTATCATTAATTTTTTCCATTATCTATTCCTTCCTCATACTTTGAGATCTACCTTATTCTATAAAAATAATTCCTGTTAAGTCCACGCATTTACTTTTTTCTTGAGACAGAGTCTTGCTTTGTCACCCTCAGTTGTGGCTCACAGTTCACAGCTACCTCAAACTCTTGGGCTCAAGCGACTCTCTTGCCTCAGGCTCCCAAGTAGCTGGGACTACAAGCGCCAACCACAACACCCGGCTATTTTTAGACATGAGGTCTCACTCTGGCTTAGGCTAGTCTCTGAAATCCTGAGCTCAAGGGATCCATCTACATCAGCCTTCCAGAGTGCTAGGATTATAGGCATGAGCCACTACACCCAGCCTTAAAATACATCTATTTTCCTCAGTTCTTATTCTTTGACTTCTCTGAATTACTCATTATTATAAACCAACTTCCCTCATTCTTACAACTATTTCTCCTGCGTGTATAAGAAATTACATCAATATTCACATCCTTCCATGTCCTTTTTGTCTGTTTTTCCTTCTCAATAACAAATAAGGGTATTCTCCCAAGTTTCTTCTTTAGCCTCTTCTCTCTGTATTCTCTCTGAAAACTCACTGTCTTCCATGCTTTCAACTACCATCCCCATGGGAATAAATCCAAAATATTTACTCATTTACCAGTTTCTCTCCTTCCCAAGTTCCAAATCTGCCTTTTAAAATTAATAGTTAGATATATTTTCATGGTCTTTCTTGCATTATAAGGGCAAAACCTCCAAGACTACTTTCCTCTCTGTGTTAACAGTTATCAGTCTTGGAACACACTGTGATTTAAGTTCAGAAACTATGTCAGAGCACTACTCCCCTTCTCTTCTTTTACTCCCCAGCACTTTCAATCTCTAAGCCATTCATTCAACAACCGCTCACTGATCACCTATTACAGCATACACATTAAAGGATACAAATACAAATAAAAATCATTCCTGTTTTTTCCTGGAATACAAATAAAAACCATTTCTGTTTTTTCCTGATGTTCCCTAAAGATGTCTTGCAAAGTTTCTTTTGTAGACTCATCTCCTATTCAATGGTAGGTGACCAGAGACGGTACCCAAAAGGAGGTGACTGCTACCAATTCATTCTAAGACTGTTTCCACCTGATTTCCTCCCCTTCAAACCCTTCCCACTTATAAATCCCCCTCAGTGTTATGAACTATTTTCAAAGAGACTCATTCTGGTTGGTCCTTTTTTATCCTAGGGAATTTCTTAACAATAGGTAGCACCCAAATTCCATTTTAGGCTTTACAAAATCAAGCTTCAAGCTATCGTTCAATTACAGTCACTCAAGATTGCTCACAATTCCCAGCCTATGCTTTCCACTTTTGATCTTCAAACCTTCAAACTTTAGAATGCAGTTTCTTTCTTTTCCAAGTTCCATTTCTCCTCCTCCCCTCCAGTTTGGTCTTTCAATGGTCTAGTTTCTCCATAAAGTCTTCCGCCTAAGTATACAACCCTAAGGTACTCAAACTTATCAATCATGTGAAGCTTTGTCACATTTTGCCTTATCTACTCAGTGTTAGTCTTTATCAAAACATATAAATTAGGTGAAAAGACACTAAATATTAATACAAAGTCAAGCACATTTATTAGCCACATCCTCTTAAATACACTGTTTACTCTCAATGGTCACTTTACTGTTAATGAAGTAAAAATACTATCTGTTTAACTTCTCATGATTTGACATGGTTGCATATGGTGGAAAATGAGAAACCATGTAGACATTACCATCATACTTCTTGTAATCTCTATTAGATTATGAACTCTTTAACTATAGCACTGGTTAATAAGCAAAGAAACCTTTTACATAAAAATTTATGATTTACACTTGATAAATAATGAGGGAAGTTGACAATTATTGAAAACAATATCCATACGGATCCCAGAAATAATAAGGTTGTAAAATAAAAGTTTCAAGACAACATTCTGACAGTAGATGAAGTTTAAGAAGGGCTATCTGTAAAATTATCCTAGCCTATTATGTGCCACCCTCTCTGGCCTTAAAATAGATCAAATTATACTTTATTCTTTAGAAGGAATATATATATTCCTTCTGTATAATAAAATATATATATATTTTAGACAGAGCCTCAAGCTGTCCCCCTGGGTAGAGTGCTGTGACATCACCGCTCACAGCAACCTCCAACTCCTGGGCTTAAGCGAGTCTCCTGCCTCAGCCTCCCAAATAGCTGTGACCACAGGCACCTGTCACAACGCCCGGCTATTTTTTGGTTGCAGCCGTCATTGTCTGGCAGCCCTGGGCTGGATTCGAACCCGCCACCTTAGGTGTATGTGGCTGGCGCCTTAGCCACTTGAGCCACAGGCACTAAAGCAAGAAGGAAAATATATACACTTACCAATTAGCTAGACACCTTCTTAATTTTCTTCTCTAACATTCTCTTACAGATACCATTTATTATTTGAGTTTGCTACCTTATGTTATATTGGCAGAAATAATTTTCATTAATTAATATCTTATCCCTTACTTTGCAGTATTTCAGTTGAGATCACAGTAATACACTTGGGTTATAAATTTTGAAACTCTAGCAAAAGTTTCTTAAAATTATTGAAGATACCCTCATATTAACCTGAAATAATTTTACTTAAAAAGAATTAGAGATTATGATATATGTTATTATACTCCAAAAAAAAGTCAAGACCTTTTTACATACATGCTATTGTTTACTTCCAAATGAACAGGGGAATAATGAAATGGCAAGTTTTCATTGTTAAAAACAAGCACAATTAAAAGATATAATTTTAACAGCCATCTTAATCAACAGAATTAAAGACATGACAGCAATGCATATGGGGATCCATTCTCTGAATTCAATGAAAATACTATCTCAATTATCCAGTTTAAAATGTACACTAAAAATTATAGGTAACACTTTCAGAAGTATTAGCTACTATGTCTCAAGTTTTTGTACAATGAGGAAACTTACTTTATAATTGTCTTCTACTTTAACTAGTTCAAGTTTTACATTTTCAGCAATTTTCACCTGTTCTTTCCATTTCAGCTCCATTTTTGCAAGTTCGTCAGCATATTTATTGCATTTTGTTGTCTCATCCTAAATGAAATTAGGATAATTACCAAAAGATTGTAAGTTGATACAGAGAAAACATCTATACAGACATACTTAGCTACGTGTTGAATACTCACTCTTAACAATATTTTAACAGTATAAAAACTGAAATAACCAAATGTCTATCAATAGAAAATTGAATAAATTATTTCACATCCACATAATAAAATAGTACATATCTATTTTCAATCATAGATGTACAAGTAAACAAGAAAAAATGTCAAGATACATTAATTGAAAACAGCAAATTACAAAAACAGAAGATATAGTATAATCCCATTTTTGTTTGTAAGTTGTTTTGTGCCATCACATATGGTGTCTATGTCAGTGTTGTATAGAAAAATATAAATCAAAACATTAAAAGCTCTTATGTCTGAGATCAGGAACAGGGAGGAACTCTGTACCATCTCTATTCCTTATTTCTATAAGCCATAACATTTCATAGTAAGTATATATTCACATTTGCAAAGGGAGAAAATAAAAATCATTGCTGTTTCTTCCAGATATTGATAAATAAAACTCTGGGATTTCCTGACCCAGATAATTTCTGGCTTGAGTTATACAGAACTCTTCTCTACAACCCAGCTCATGATGAAGGAATTACAAATCATGACAAAAAGGTAAATAGGTCAATTTCATTTGAAACATTTTCGTTTAAGGTGCTTAAGGAATTCACTGGAAGGAAAGTCTTTTAAACAAATAATGCTACATCAACTGAATACCAAAACAACACATTCCATATGTCACACCATACACAAAAATTAATTCAAAATGGTTCATAGCCCTAAATGTAAAACCTGATTATAAAACTTCTAGAAGACAAAATAGAAGCAAATGTTTCTCAGAACATAAAAGACACAAAATGGTAAGTGTGGTGGCTCAAGCCTGTAATCCTAATACTCTGCAAGGCCAAGGTGGGAGGATTGCTTGAGCTCAGCAGTTGGAGACCAGCTTGAGCAAGAGCAAGACCCCATCTCTACTAAAAGTAGAAAAACTGAGGAAAAAGAATCTCTTGAGTCTAAGAGATGGAGGTTGCTGTGAGCTATGATGCCATAGCACTCTACCCAGGGTGACAGAGTAAGACTCTGTCTCAAAAAAAAAAAAAAAAAACAACAAAAGAAAAAGACTTGTATCCAGAATAAAAACAACTAAAGATGAAAAATGCAACATTTTTAATGGCAGAAGATTTTACCTCACACACAAAAAAGATAAACAGATGTCCAATAAGCATAAAAGGAAAGATGTTCAACATCAAGTCATTATTTAAATGCGAATTAAAACCACAATGAGGTATCACTACACACTCACTAGGCTATGTAAAATGGTACAGCTACCTTGCAAAATAGTTCCAGTCACACTTTCACCTACCATACCTCCCAGGCATTTCACTCCTAGATATTTACCCAAGAGAAACAAGAAACCATTATGTCCATAAAAGACTTGCATATAAATGTTCTTGACAGCTTTATTTGTAAATTAAAAATATATATACATATCCATCAACTGCTTACGAGATTAACAAATGATATATCCATATGATGGGTTACAACCTCAGCAATAAAAAGGAATGAACAATATAATCAACAATACGGATAAATCTCAAAATAATTATGCTCGAAGAGGGCAGAAAAAAGTGCATAGTATGTGACTCCATTCCATAAAATTGTACAAAAGGTAAGCTAATAAGTAGTGGCAGAAAACAGGACAATGGCATCCTAGAGACAGGAACAAAGGAAGAGATGTGGCACAAATGAGTACAAAAAAACTATTCATGATGAATAGTTTTGATGAAACTATTCATGATGAATAGTTTTGATGAAACTATTCATGATGAATAGTGATGAAAATGTTATCTGGACAATGTGAAATTTCATGACTGACAAAAATGATCAAATTGCACACTTCAAATAATGTGCAATTCTACAGATTTCAACTGTATCACAATACAGTTGTTAAAAAACATACCTTTACAAAGTTTTTGGTAGGAAGAACATTATTCTACTTCTTGTCAATAATACTTCTATACACAGTAATAATATTTTTTAAAATACTCATCTAGAATTGTTTCATCCTTAATAAACAACTACTTTGAATTCAAGGGTAAAAGTATCCAAAATCAATCCTACAGAAGGATTCTCTCGACCAAATAAAAAAAAGTTCACTTTATAGAGTTTAAAAGATTTCATTATGTATAAGGGATTCATAAAACATTTTAAATTAATTACCATAGTAATTAATAAAGTACAAACTTTATTCTATAGCTCTAAACACCCACATACACACACTCCACATGCACACAGGCATACATACACCAAACTATTTAATTCAACAAAACTCACATACACAAACACAAAGCATCTTTTCCTCTACACTCCAAGTTAGGTATAGAAAAGAAACATTTTCCCATGTCCTTTCTAGGAGTGAATGCTACCACAAAAAGGTTACAAAACTGAAGTTTGAATGATACTGTTTAAAATAATCAAAGTAAATAAGATCATAAGAGACAATTCCTGTGGTTAGCATTCCCTTTTTCCACTGTGTAAATTTGGTTACTTTAAGATATGGTAAATTCTTTGCTATTATTACAGTAAATAAAAAGAAGTGAGCTGACATCTGGTCAGTCTCCATTCCCCCTCTATGAAAGTCTTTCCTTGTCACTGCACTGGCCTCTTCTCCTTTCCTACAGACCCTCACCCCGGTTCTATGCCAGTACCTCCCACTGTGCTGTAAACCCTGCTATATTTCTGGACCTTAGTTTTCTCTTGGGCAGCAGGCAGATGAACCCAGATGTGGAACAGTATTTTCACTGTGGGAGGCCAAGGCAGGAGGATTGCTTGAGGCTAGGAGCTTAAGATCAGCTTGAGCAACAGCAAGACCCTGGCTCTACCAAAAGCAGAAAAAATTAGCCAGGTATGGTACCCAGAAGCTGACACAGGAGGATCACTTGAGACCAGGTATTTGAGGTTGCAGTAAGATGTGACGGTGCCACTGCCATCCAGCCTAAGAGAAAGCAACATTCTGTCTCCAATCAATCAACAATAAATAAAATTAAATTAAAAGAATACTTCTTTATGAAGTTCAAATATCCCCATGAATTTTTGGAATAAAATGATACAATAATTCCCAACTTCAATTAACTACTTGTCCATTATCCAAACAAGAATATTTTATTAACTGAAAAGAAAGACTTTAGGATCATGGTTTTACATACCAGCCTATATGAACAGGTAAACGACCCCCCCCCCACGCCCCAAATCATCCCAAAAGCAAAAAAACAAAACTAAATAACACTACATGCAGATGGAAAAGAAACCCCAGGATCCCAATCAAAACAATAAAGACAAGCCCAGACATTTACATTTGATAAGTCTGTCTTTCACTTACAAGAGAGCTTAACCTACCTGCAAAAGTTGTTTACACTTATTATACTTTTCTGTTTTGTCAGCAATTTCTTTGGTCATTTCACAGACTTGCCCCTTTGTTACCACATCAAACTCTGCTTCTGCTGTAACAAGGCAGAAAATGAGATTGTTTAAAAGTATTTTGCCCTTTATGTTACCTTCCAGTTCAAAATAACTTAAAGGTCAGTATATTGCATACTGAATACTGAAGGAGAGAAACATTTATTCATATCCTAAATAAACAAAGAAGGAACTATATAAACTGTAGGTGAAGATTTTTAAATGTCAATTTGTCCAGAAATAAGTTTATATTCAATAATGAAAGGCTCATTCTATCTTTTTAAAAATAGGCTAAAAATAGTTCTAAAATGGCACAAAAATTATTCTTATTAACTAGACAGGAGAAGTAGCAAAACCGTATCTTTGAGATTACCTTTTTTTTAATTATTATTTTTTTTATTTTTGAGACAGAGTCTCACTTTGTCACCCTCAGTAGAATAGCTCCTTAAACTCTTTTTTTTTTTTTTTTTTTTTGAGACAGAGCCTCAAGCTGTTGCCCTGGGTAGAGTGCACCTCCAACTCCTGGGGTCAAGCGATTTTCCTGCCTCTGCCTCTCAAGTAGCTGGGAGTACAGGCTTCTGCCACGCCTGGCTATTTCTTTGTTGCTGCCATCATTGTTGTTTGGTGGGCCTGGGTTGGATTCGAACCTGCCAGCTCAGGTGTATGTGGCTGGCGCCTTAGCCATTTGAGCCACAGGCACCGAGTCAAACTCTTGGGCTCAAGTGATCCTCTTGCCTTAGCCTCCTAAGTACAGCTGGGACTACAGGCACCTGCCACAATGCCTAGCTAGTTTTAGAGTCAAGGTCTTGCTCTGGCTCAGAATGGTCTCAAACCTATCAGCTTAGGCAATCCACCTGCCTCGGCCTTCCAGAGGCCGTGAGTCCACCAGAGACAAAGACCACCTCCCAGTGGTCCCGTGAGCCACCAGAGACAAAGTTTCACTATGTTGTCCAGGGAGACTTCTGAACAACCTCTCTGGCTGAGATACGTTTTAAATCAAGGTGTCCAACCTCCCCTCACCCCCACCAAATTAGAAGAATAAGAGTTGTCTTAGGCCACCCATTAAATATACAAACACTAAGGAAAGCTGACCTGGAAAACAAAAACAGATCTGTGCATACTTTTCATATATCTGAAAGTTAAACAGGCCTAGTCCTTCATTACAATTCACTAAGTTGTTCATTAAGTAAATATACTCTAATACCACACTAGAGCACTATGGAGGGTACACAGAAATGGGAAAGCTAGATCCTATCCTACAGGGGCTGAACCTAAATTAAATATTTAACAGTCCAGGATATTTACATTTAAAAAGACTAAAGCACCAATTACCCCACACACTAATCAAGGAAATATACTTCCTCTTAGCACTTTGTATAGAACAAAAGCCAAGAATTGAATTTTTATTTTTTATTCCATTAAATCTATGGAATTTGTAAGCATTTTATTTCTGGCATTTTAATTTTGTAAGGGGGGAATCCTATTTTCATGTTTCTCTCATTTTTTTGGTTGTTGTTCCATAGTCACACATTCATCTACCATACCTCCCAAGCTGTTTTGAATCAGTAGGTTACTTCTTCCTTCATTAAGTTTACCTGTTGGCCTAATGTACATGATGCAATGGTACATTTCAAAACTATTAAGAAATGAGTATAATTGTGATGGATGTGTTACTTAGTTCAATGTAAACATTTCACATTGTATATCAAAGCAGTACCCTGAGCCCCATAAATGCATCAATGTACAAAGTTATGATTTAATAAAAAATAATTTTTTAAAAAAGTTTACCTGTTGGCTGATAAGTTAAATTTGTTTTTTTAATTTATTTATAGAACAGATCAGAGAGAGATACAAGTTGAATACTTCAACATGAAATTCGAATCCTAGGTTTTCACCTGTACTGTATTTTTTTCACTTTTATGCAAATTTGACAATACAAGTATAACCTAAGCAAGTAAGTCAAAGGCACTAGCTCATGTCTAACACTTTGAATATTCTCATGAAGGGATGTATTAATTACACTCACATTTAGTGTATCACCATACGCACGACTTTATTTTACATTTATTCCTTTATTTATTTTCCCTTTGCCTCCTTCCCTCACTCATAAGGATTTTTTGATAAGTGTCCTGAAATTCTTACACACTAAAGAAGGCACTGTAAATAAACCACCTTTAAGGAAGGACGCTACACAAAAAGTCTTAAAGATGTTTACCTCCAGAAGGTGATGGCTTTCTGTCTGTCACAGAGGCAGAAGTGGCTGGGTCTGTGTTTACTGAAGCATCATTCACTTTCTGTTGAGTCCCAATTTTCTTTGTGAAGACACTATTATTATTGATCTACGAAAAACATTAACAACAAAATGTTCACTGAATAAATCCTATGTCTTTTTTTTTTTTTTTTTTTTTGAGACAGAGCCTCAAGCTGTCCCCCTGGGTAGAGTGCCATAGCATCTCAGCTCACAGCAACTTCCAACTCCTGGGCTCAAGCGAGTCTCCTGCCTCAGCCTCCCAAGTAGCTGGGACCACAGGCGCCCGCCACAACACCTGGCTATTTTTTGGTTGCAGCCATCATTGTTGTTTAGTGGGCCCAGGCTGGATTCGAACCCGCCACCTTAGGTGTACGTGGCTGGTGCCTTAGCCACTTGAGCCACAGGCACCGAGCCCCTATGTCTTTCTTCTAATAGCAATGCAAATAATAATCATAAAAAGAAATCCTGAAAAGTCCACTGAAAATGCTTGTCTTAACATCCAACAAAGCCTAAAGTTATACACATCATTTTCCTAACTGACCTAAATGCTGTAGAAATATTTTTTTGCTTTTTCTTATGAAATCATCAAAACACCCCCCAAACCAGCCATACACAGAAATCTCAAAATCTCACAAGTTTTCTACTACAAACCAAAATCTATACATGAGTCAAATTTAAAATACAATTTTTGTTTCTTTCACAAAGCCTTCCTCCTTTACTACATGTACTCCTTGCTTCTTTGTCTCCTGACTTGAAGAAGACCAGGAAAAAATATCATCTGTATCATATGGTATAAGAAAACTGTGGTGATACTTTCCAAGTTTTAAATGTCTCTTCTACATTTCCAGAAGTTCTTTATATAGTAAGCCTTATATTTTAAGTACAATTCAAAAACCCACATTAATATATACATGTAACTCATAACAAAACCATTTTCTCTGCTTTATTACATACAAATCTGCCTACTTAATCCCAAATGCAATACAAAAGAATCAGCTAACACTCTTTAACTCCTTCTAATATAGGACATAAGCAACACACAAGAATTTGCCAATAACAACTCAGAAACCATCTAATACCATAGTTCACTGGTGAACTACTCCAATGAGGACAGGTGTCCCTGTCATGAGAGATACAATAATATGTATTGAATTTAAGTGACAAAGATATTCATCAAGAACTTAGAGGAAAATGGGCTGATGAAAAACAGGGATCTTTCTCCTTTTTTAAATTTTAACTTGCTACTGCCCTTGCTTCCTTTGTTAGTTATCTAGTAAATGAGAACTCTAGATTTCTAGTTTTAAAAAGAGTTGCCATTATAATATTAGGCCAATGACTTGAAATCAAACAGAAATGAATATTTAAAAGACTGATATTTAAAATATTATAAATTTGATTTACAAACAAAAATACTGATAAAGAAAACATGTTGCTTCATATGAATTCAATAATACTTACTGTCGGGTCTGAGAGTTTGTTTATTTGTTTTTGGAGTCGCTGGCATTCCTTAAATTTTTCTTTGTAGTGATCTGCAGCCATCTGAAGACGTAGTCTCAGATCTTCAACTTCTCTTCTCAATTCATGTTCCAGTGTATCAGTCTTTTCCTAAGAAAGAAACAAATACTCTAAGAGAAAAATAAAAATCTGATACGTTATAATGTTGTAGCAAATCCCAACTTTACTTTTTTTCCTGGTTTACCATAGTGTTGATGCAGTCACAAGTTAACTTATGTTTTCATGCACAGAGGATTGCAAGTTAACTTGTGTTTGTACTTGCATGAGCTACTGCTATTTTAAAAATACAGGGTGATGGGCGGTGCCTGTGGCTCAAATAAATAGGGCACCAGCCCCATATACTGGAGATGGTGGGTTCCAACCCAGCCCCAGCCAAAAACTGCAAAACAAACAAACAAACAAAAAACCCACAGGGTGATGTAGGATATTATAAAAGCTTTCTTGATAGCATCACCATAATAACAGCCAGTGACATGGGATAACTTCTGCATAAAATTGCCAATCAACAATGTGTTAATATTTGTTTCAGGATTGTGGCCACAGAACAACATTAGCTCTCCTAAAAATCCAGACTTAGATTCTTAGGAGTAAGGATAGAGGGAAAAAAGCCACCTCCTAAGGAGTAATTATTACTCTCAAATAATCATCACACCATTTTATATAACTAGTAAATAAATTTTAAACAAAGCAATATATATCTGACATCAATACATTTAATTAATAATACAGAACCTCTTTCTATTAGGAAATTCATAGATTTTCTTAAAGCATATATTAATTTCAACACAATAAATTACAATGGCTAGACAAAATGAACGGAAATTTGAATTCTCTAATATGGATCTGACCTGACTTATTTTAACACAATTCACTCTTTTGTGAGCTTGTGTTTTTTTAATCAACATGGAAATTAAAAATTAACTTGCTTTACCTGATCTTTTTTCACAGAATTTAGTTTAAGCTCTGCAACTGCATCAGCGAGCTGCTTTTTCACTTTCTCATTTTCCAAGCGTGCGGTGTGTAGATCTGCCATCGTTCTGTCCCGCACATTGACAGCATCACTTAGTTCTTTAGTCAGAAAGATAACTTTTTGCCGAGTTGCCTGAACCTGTTCCTCTGCCTTACGAAGTTGTTCCTTTAGAAAAAATGTATCTTCCTGGAGACAGAAGGTAAATATACTTGTAATTGAACCATTCAAGTAAAAAACAGAACCAGAAACAATTTCTACATATATTTCAACAGATCCAAAAGTTTAAATATTGCTTTTCTATTCATGACTTTAGATGGTGTGTATGCCCATAAGAAATTCAACATGTGGCTCGGCGCCTGTGGCTCAAATGGCTAAGGCGCCAGCCACATACACCTAAGGTGGCAGGTTCGAATCCCCAGCCTGGGCCCGCCAAACAACAATGATGGCTGCAACCAAAAAATGGCCAGACGTTGTGGCAGGTGCCTGTGGTCCCAGCTACTTGGGAGGCTGAGGCAGGAGACTCGCTTGAGCCCAGGAGTTGGAGGTTGCTGTGAGAGTGATGCCATGGCACTCTGCCCAGCGGGGATAGCTTGAGGCTCCGTCTCAAAAAAAAAAAAAAGAAATTCAACATGTGACTTTTTAAGATTCCCCATATATGCAGAAGTACACAGGTACTGGATATCACTGCTATTACTTTATATACATGAGGAAATAAAATACAGGAAATATCCAATGCTTAAAAGACCTGGCTAAAAGGCTCAAATGAAAGATCTTGTCCCCTAGAACCAGCTGAAACTATAGACCTTCATCGTTTATAAAGACCAGTAAAAATAATTTCAAAAACTTCTCCATGGCTCAGTGCCTGTGTCTCAAGTGGCTAAGGCGCCAGCCACATACACCTAAGGTGACAGGTTCGAATCCAGCCCGGGCCCGCCAAGCAACAATGATGGCTGCAACCAAAAAATAGCCAGGTGTTGTGGTAGGCGCCTGTGGTCCCAGCTACTCGCTTGAGCCCAGGTGTTGGAGGTTGCTGTGAGCTGCGATGCCACAGCACTCTACCCAGGGGGACAGCTTGAGGCTCTGTCTCAAAAAAAAAAAAAAACTTCTCCATAACACTGCAAAGTTTGATTCAAAGAGGCTTCCTACTTTTTAACCTAAAATACGTCCAATAAAATATTAAGCTAACATTTCAGATGATTATGAAAAGACAGAATAGATTTAGGAATTAGTTTCAAAACAAATTACTGGTATGCCAGTAGTAAAGACCAAGTACTGGGAAAATGAAAAGTAATTAGCACCTCTTAATAAATCTAAAAGTACAGTATCTTTAAAAAGTTAAAATTGCCATGATGAAATTATTTCTTTTAATATTAACTAGACATTATAAGTACAATAAATATAGTTTATTCAATTTTCCCATTTCTAATTCTGGTACCAAATATAATGTTAAATCAGAAAAATTGCACCCCAATCTTGGTTATTAAACTGTTAGCCCTGCAAAAAGAAATGAAATTATTTAATACTGACATATACAAGATCTTTGTAGACAAAACACTAATAGATCTAACTATACAGATACTGTCAACTTCTATTACATCAAGAGAAAAAGAGAACTAGAAGAAATTATTTGTAATGTATTCAAAAAAAGACATAATACTACTCTGATATAAGCAACTTCTCTAATCAATAAGGAGGAACTCAATCCAAAAACTAAATAAAAGGCCAAAGGCATGAACATGGAATTTTTTTTATGTTCATGCTTTTTTTTTATGTTTAGTTTAAGTCCCGTTTGTTTACTTTTGTTGTTGTTGCAGTTGCCACGGGAGTCTTCACAAAATCTTTCCCCAGGTGATTACCTTCACGTGTTTTCCTCACACTTTCTTCAAGGATTTTTGTTGTTTCATGACTTACATTTAAATCTCTTACCCATCTTGAATCAATTTTTGTATGTGGTGAAAGGTGAGGGTCCTCTTGCAGTCTTTCATATGTGGTTATCTAGCTCTCCCCCACCATTTATAGAATAAGGATTCTTTTTTCCCCAGTTACGTTCTTGTTTGATTTATTAAAGATCAGGTGGCTGTAAGATGTTAGTTTCATCTCATGGTTTCCTATTTAGTTCCAAATGTCTATGTCTCTATTTTTGTGCCAATACCATGCTGTTTTGATCACTATGACCCTGGTCCAGATGGCTTCACACCAGAATTCTACCAAACCTTCAAAGAAGAGCTTATACTCATACTGCAGTCACTCCAAAAAGTTGAGAAGGAAGAAATCCTCCCCAACATGTTCCATGAAACAATCATCACCCTGATACCAAAACCAGGAAAAGACCCAATTAAAACCTCAGACCAATTTCACTAATGAATATAGATGCAAAAATTCTCAATAAAATCCTAGCCAAGAGATTACAGCTACACGTAAAAAAAAAAAAAATCATACATCACGACCAAGTAGGTTTCATCCCAGGGACGCACAGCTGGTTTAACATATATAAGTCTATAAACATAATTCACCACATCAACAGAAGCAAAAACAAAGACCATATGATCTTCTCATATCATATGAGATGCAAGAAAAGCATTCGATAAAATCCAGCATCCTTTTCTAATTAGAACACTTAAGAACACAGGCATAGGTGGCACATTTTTTTAAACTGATCGAAGCCATCTACAACAAACCCACAACTAATATTATACTTAATGGTATAAAATTGAAAGCTTTTCTACTTAGAACTGGAGCCAGACAAGGTTGTCCTCCATCACCACCAGTATCCGACATAGTGCTGGAAGTTCTAGCCAAATACAATCAGGCAAGAGAAGAAAATAAAGGGCATCCAAATGTGGGTAGAGGAGGTCAAACTCTCTTTGCTGATGAAATGATCTTAGAGAACCCCAAAAACTCAACCGCCAAGACTCCCGGAAGTGATCAAAAATACAGTAATATCTCAGGATATAAAATCAATGTACATAAATCAGTAGGCTTGTATATGCCATTAACAGCTAAATTGAGAAACTAATTAGAGACACAATTCCCTTCACACTAGCTTCAAAAAAAATGAAATGCCTAGGAATATACATAACAAAAGAGGTGAAAGACCTCTACAAATAAAATTACTGAAACCCTAAGAAAAGAAATAGAAGATAATTAAAAAGTGGAAGAGCATACCATCCTCAGGGCTGGGAAGAATCAACATTGTAAAAATGTCTATACTTCCCAAAGCAACCTACAGATTAAATGCAATCCTAGTTAATATAACATCGTATTTTCAAGGTTTGGAAAAAAAATGATTCTTCGTTTTGTATGTTACTAGGAAAAAACGAATATAGCCAAGGCAATTCTTCGTAATAAAAACAAAGCTGGGGTCATCACTCTACCAGACTTTAGGATGTACTACAAAGTCATAGTGATCAAAACAGCATGGTCTTGGTACAAAAATAGACATAGACATTTGGAACCAAATAGAAAACCATGAGATGAAACTAATATCTTACAGCTACCAGCTCTTTGATAAATCAAACAAGAGCATACACCAGGAAAGAGAATCCATATTTCTATGTTGAGTAAATGGTGTTGGGAGAGCTGGGTAACCACAGGTAAAAGACTGAAACTAGATCTGCACTTTTCATCGCTTATAAAAATGGACTCAAGATGGATAAAAGATTTAAAACTGAGGCAAGAAACAACAAAAATCCTTGAAGAAAGTGTGGGGAAAACACTTGAACATATCAGCCTAGGGAAAGATTTTATAAAGAAGACTTCCGTGGCAATTGCAACAAAAATAAAACAAAAGGGACTTCAACTGAAAAGCTTCTGTATAGCTAAGGAAACAACAACCAAAGCAAAGAGACAACCTTCAGAATGGAAAAAGATATTTGCATATTATGAATCAGACAAAAGCTTGATAACTAGGATCTATAGAGAACCAATAATCCTATACATCACTGGGCATGAGGGATTAGAACCTCCTCTAAAGACAACAGACTAACGGCTAACAAACACATGGAAAAAAATGCTCATCACCCCTAATCATCAGAGAAATGCAAATCAAAACCACCCTGAGATATCACCTAACCCCAGTAAGAATGGCCTACATCACAAAGTGTCAAGGCTGCAGATGGTGGTGTAGATATGGAGAGAAGAGAACACTTTTATACTGCTGGTGGGACTGTAAACTAACACAATCTTTTTGGAAGGAACTATGGAGACTCCTCAAAAAACTCAAATTAAACCTCCCATTTGATCCTGCAATCCCACTGCTGGGCATCTACCCAGAAGAAAAAAATAGAACTTTTATAAGAACATTAGCCTCTTAATAATTCACTAGACTATTACAGCTCAAGTTATAATAACCAAAATTGTGAGGCTCGGTGCCTGTGGCTCAAGCAGCTAAGGCGCCAGCCAAAAAGTGGCGGGTTCAAATCCCCCAGCCCAGGCCTGCCAAACAACAATGATGGCTGCAACCAAAAAATGGCCAGGCACTGTGGCGTGCCTGTAGTCCCAGCTACTTGGGAGGCTGAGGCAGGAGACTCGCTTGAGCCCAGGAGTTGGAGG